TTGCCGGTGACGTGGGTGATCGCTCCTCTGCTGCCTACAGATCAGGTTGTTGCAAGGCACTAATAAGCTACTATGGAGTGGGAGTAGAATGTATGGAGCCTCAGTCTTCATCTCCTTGGCATTGGAAAGAACTTTCAAAGCGTCTGACACCAAAGCCTGGCCCAGTGAAGTCTGAGTTGAGCAGTCGGTAATGCAAAAGCAAACATTGTGCAATTTCCTGATGCGTGTCTGGGGCCTGTGATTCTTTGATCTCATCCTGGAGGACTTGAATCTCTTCATCCTGCCAGATGCAAAAGCTGTCGGAGCCCCAATCAGTCATGTTGCTCGGCCTTCCGGGCCATCAGAGTGTTGCACCGCACCAGCATGTCGTTTTCCACCATGCGTGCAACTTCCTGACATAGCAAGGTGAACGAAGCATGTTAATATAGTTCAACTCGCGAACTAACAATAAATCCGGCCTTCCTAGCATGCTTCATGGCATGTGCTTCGAGTTTCCACCTGGCCTTGTTCTCCTAGCAGCACATCACAGTAACTGTGAAAGCAAGATCGTGTTCACTGCTTGCCTGGATTGCATGGAGATCTTTGTCCTTCTGCTGCAGCACTGCCTGTGACAGTTCTGCAACATATGCTAGATTGCATTCACTTTGTCTTGACCCGCCTGGGCTTCCTCGAGCTCTTTGTCCTTTTCGTCAGTGCACACCTGTCAAAATGAAATTCTTCAACATACGGTAGATTGTATGGACCCGGAATGCTTTCCTGGGCTGCATGGAGTTCCTTCTCTTTCGCCTTCAGGGAAGCCTGTGGACACTGTGACACTTCTGCATTGCATTCACTTTGTTTTGACCCGCCTGGGCTTCCTTCAGCTCTTTGTCCTTTTCGTCACTGCACGCCTGTCAAAATGAAATTATTCAACATACGGTAGATTGTATGGACCCGGAATGCTTTCCTGGGCTGCATGGACTTCCTTCTCTTTCGCCTTCAGGGAAGCCTGTGGACACTGTGACATTCTGCAGTGCACAACTTGCCAACAACGAACCCCTAATCGCCTCCAGGCTTGTGACCATCTTTTTGCAATCCTCAGAAAAGGGCTTGCAGGATGAATGGCCTGTGATTGTGCATGGCTACCATGCCTCAAGCTGCTTCTTAAGGTCGTCGTTCGACTTCAAGTGGGCCTGGCAAGAAACCACTTGAAGAATGAGCTTCAAACTGTGTGGAAACCGGGCAGTAAAGGCCTCCTCTGCGGACTTGGCAGCCATGAGGTCCAGATTCAAGTTGCGCACTCGGCCCTGGAAACAAACAAGGCATTGGACACAAGTTTCACTTGCACAACACCAACACAAACTAGTGGCCTCCGCCATCTCGGCCCTCTCCTTGTAGTCTTTGTTGATGCCCTGCCCAAGAAAAGGTTTGTTCTGGGGACCGCGAATGATGGGATTTCCCTGCCCGGCCCTGCCTGGCAAAGAGTCAGCTGGCGAACCATGTGGTCCGATTCGCTCTGAACACTCGCCAGCCGTGCTTTGAGATCCTTGATGTCTTTCAAAAGTGGAGCCCTGATCGCCTCACGCTCAGCCTGGGTCCGTGTCCTCTCCTGGGTTCCGTCCTCGAACCTGGCACGCAGGGCCATCCCGCCCTGCCTGCCCTTTGCCTGCACCGTCGTCCTGCTTCCACCACCTTTACCCTTTCCCACTTCTTCTCCTTGCTCCTCACCTTCATCCCAGGAGCCACCATAGCCGTAGTCCCAACCGTCCCAGCTCGACCCATACTCCCAGCTCGACGACCCGGCCCGCCCACGTCCGGACATGGCTTGTCAGCGAGGGCGAGGCTACTTGTTCCTATGTGCAACTGTGATGGCTTTAAACTTCTGCATATAGTTGACCATCGACGACAAGGGCCCAAGAACCTCACCGCTCGATGAAGCTGCCATGATCTTTGTAGTTCATGAACTCAGAAACCTTCTTGGGCCTTTGGTGTGCAGCACAGGACAGTGCAAGCTGCATGTTGTTGCGCCAACAGAATCCACTTCAGTGATGCATCTTGACAAAACTATGCACTCTGAGGCCTGAACACTCTGATCTTCGGCTTTCATTGAAGGCTGGCCTGCCGGTTGAATCAATGTCTTTTCTACTTCGATATAGTCGCTGCATCTTCATGTGTGTGTGTGTGCGCTTTCACAGCGCCTGATGTCTTTCCGACAGAAAATAACATGCACCATGCGCTATCACAGCGCCAGAATGCTTAGCTGAGCTGTGATGTCTTTCCGACAGCAAATAACATGCACCATGCGCTATCACAGCGCCAGAAAGCTTAACTGACAGCCTACCCACCTTTGATGCAGGCAAGCCTTCTGGACCTAGGGCGCCCAACGGCATGTAAATATCCATGCCGATACGAATGCTTACACTTGCCGTCGAAACGCATGGATCTTAAATTAAAATCCATCACTCATGTAATTTAGGAAAACACACACTTTTCGATTATTCTGCACATCGTTTGGCTAAGCATAACCTTATAACTCGGGCCCCCTGGAAACCCCACATTAAGTGCTTCTTCACCACAGTATGTCGATGTCATGCTATGCTGGGTAGCCCAATTGAAGTTTCACGTAGGGACCTTGCCAAAGAAACCCGGAAGCAAAGCCTTACTCCAAATAAGCTATAGCTGTATCATATAAGTTGATCAAAGCCACATTCGTAAACAAAATCCTATGGGGTTGCTAGCTTAACCAAACCCTGCACAGCAAGCTTTACATCCCCAAGCCGAGGTCGAAAACTCGATCTACAATCACATTGCCGTGGGCAATATCTTCACTTCCTTAAGGAACCCTATGATACTTGCCCTGGCTATGTCCATAGATGGGAATGCCAAGCCTATAGTACTAAATTATCAGGTTGGCCCAGGCATGATGGAATTGCTGCAGCAGTCCTCTGGCTTTAGTGGCTTATACAGTATCGTTCAATGCAGATCTACTTGTCGTTCCATATATAGTCTAAAAATATCTAAGTGTCTAGTGCTCAACCTTTAAGGAGCCAACACTGGGATGTGTGTATTCACTTGCAATACTTACCTGTGCATGTTACGCACATATATTAGGATGTTACATGCATTCACACATACATGCATACAGATACTACGCATGCTCCATACATGGCGACGGCATAGTGGGGAGTGTCGCCATCGACAATGCTGAAGCCAGTGGTCCTGCTGATCTTGGCAAGGTCTCGCTGGCTCTTATTGGTGCCTCTACATCAGGGGGTTCTGTTAATTGCATGCCCGATCGAGTTGTGCATGCTTGCATGGCATATATGTTGAGCAACATTGGAACCGTGCATGCAGAGACTTCGGCTTCCAGCTTATGCGCACTACTGTGTGCGGACTGCATGAATGCATGTGTAACCTGTAGCTAGCTACGTAGCTGTGGGCAGTCAGGCATGTTGCGACGACTAAGCTGTGCGTCTAGTGGTCAGCATGACAAGCCTTGCGGAAGTATGGGCTTCACTGCCTGGACTGAAGGAGCGTGGGGCTTCCGGGCGGCTCGTTATCGGGCCTGTGAACCTTCAGCGGGCTGACTTGGACTTCAACTGGAATATCACAGGTCATGCCATTCTTTGGGTGGGAGTGAGACCAAGTGTGGACCCCATTGCCGATAGCGGCGTGGGGGACTTCTTCCATATGACCCGGGTCAAAGGGGCCAAACCGGCTTCACGACACTTAGCTGTTAAGTTCTGCTGATCGATTGTGATGCGCGCAAATATGTTTCCAAAGAGTGCCTTGGCTAAGGAGACTTTTGTAAGGCTGCAGCGTGGAAAGTGCGGAACCTCATCACCATGTTCTGCGCGATACTAGTATGCATGATTTTGGAGCCTTTGCTCGCGTGGTCTTGATTGAGATAGCCTTGGGCCTTTACTTTAAACTTGCATACCCTGTACAACCCAGGATAGCGAAGAAACCACACCGGCCTCGCGAACCCAATATCATTCGGCTGTATCAGCTGGTGGGAGTGCCAGTCCCTGAAGGCAAGGCTCTTACACAGACTTTTGCAAACCATATTGTGAAGTATATCTATATAATACCTAGATAGGTAAGCCAAACCCGAATTTCCCAGGTCGCAGTCCTCACCAATCCATCGACGATGCCCAGGCAGCCTGGGGAAACAGGGTATGAACTCGTCACGGTGGTGTGTGCATGGGGTCAGTTATTAAACGGATCACCTTTATATTACATAAATTTAATAGCCCATGTATGCTAATCTCATTGTATCGCAGGGAATGCCTATCGCTGTCCACGTTCTAATCTGTCCCGTGCTACCTCGTAAACCCCTAAAAGTTAGCGGCAAGCCGGCAAAACCGTAACACCAAATCCTGGGCCAACTATAGAGCTAAAGTACTCTATGCAAATTGGTGGTTGAGCTGTGGGGCCCTAGGTGCTTGAAGAGATTGGTGACGGTGAGGAAGGGGAAGAAGAATGTGCGACAGAGGATGACATGATTGATGAAGAGGTTGCCATGTCAGCTGTGGAAGCAAGTGGGGATGCAAGTGCTGAGTGTGTGGATGCCCACGCAACTGGGATCCCCGAGCCGGCCTTGACAGGTCCGCCGACAGCCGTTGTGCAGTCTGATACAGGTGAGAGTGTGGCTCATCCAGCTGTTCCGGTGCCCGTGACCGATGCTGTTGCACCGGCTGCTGCAGTGCCAAGCTTGTTGCCCCCGCAGCAAAACCCACCCGGTGCACTTCAGCGCGTGTGCACCAGTGCCTTACTTTGCATTTACATAGGTAGGAATGTGATGTGCAACGGGTTTGCAGTGCACATGCATGTTCTGTTTAATGCAGAGCATGCGGAGCATGAGGTGATTCTATCACGACTTGTGCTTCAACCATTGCCACCCCCCCGCCGAACCGACCACACCCTGGTCTCCGCCGTCATCCACGGAGAAGCTTCCTCTTCCTGCAGACAGGAAGCGAGCTATCCTGCAGGCTCTCGAGAGTGAGTGTGCAACCATTGAGATGCTGCTGAAGGCCAAAGGGGACTTAGCCGCGAAGAGGGCATTCGAAGCTGCCCGAGAGCGAGTGCCAGAGCCGAGTAGCTTGATTCAGCATTGAAGTGTTTGTTATAATGAGTGTTCAGCAGGCCCTGCTTGCTTGGCCCAGGTATGGGTGTCGACCATATCGACACGTACCCCATGGACACCGGTGTGGCCGAGGATGTGTTGCAAGCTGCACGGATCGAAGTTCACCAGCGTGAACTGCAGCAGTCGGTGCAGGAAGAGTCTCAGCCAAAGCCAAAGCTTTCGGCTGATCTTCGTGGCACAACCTTGATTTTGGGGCAGGTGCGACCTGAACCGGAGCAGGGGGAGGCCGAAGACGACAACAGGACTGTTTACTTCGATGCCGAAGATTTGGCTTTCCCAGATGACAGTCGGGTCGCTTATGAGGAGCCAAAGCCCATTGAGCCTTCGGTGGCGACAGAGGAGCCATCACATGAGAAGCCCAGTGAGACTTCGATGGCTATAGAGGAGCCGTCAGATGAGAAGCCCACTGAGCCTTTGGTGGCTGCAGAGGAGCCGACAGATGATGAGCCATCAGATGAGGAGGCTAGCGAGGCTTCGGTGGCTATGGAGGAGCCGTCAGATGAGAAGCCCAGTGAGAATTTGGTGGCGACAGAGGATGCGCTTTTGGTGGCTGCAGAGGAGCCGACAAATGAGGAGCCATCAGATGAGGCTAGCGAGGCTTCGGTGGCTATGGAGGAGCCGTCAGATGAGAAGCCCAGTGAGAATTTGGTGGCGACAGAGGAGCCATCAGATGAGAAGCCCATTGAGCCGTCGGATGAGACACCCGACGAGCTTTCGGTGGCTACTGAGGAGCCAGCAGATGAGAAGCGCACTGAGCCTCCTTCTGAATCCAGAGGCTCAGTTCAGCCACCCCTTCCGATGCCCGCTTGTGCCCGACATTTGGCTGTTGTCAGCCCAGCCGAACAGAGTGCAGGCCAAGCAGCCAAGAAAGAATCTGGCAAAGGCCGCGGTAGGGGCCGTGGCAGATCCAAGAAAGGATCTGGCAAGGGCTGTGGTAGGGGTCGTGGCAGCTCCAAGAAACCTGGCAAGGGCCGTGGCAGATCCAACAAAGGATCTGGCAAGGGCCGCGGCAAGGGCCGTGGCAGAGGCTGTGGTGTAAAGGCCAGCAAGCCGTTGCCGAATGAGGAGGCCTTGGCGGGTGTGCCCACCCGCAGTCGTGGAAGAGGCCGTGGCCGTGGCCGTGGCAGTGAGGGGCCGGATGCCATGGCGTCTGAGGCCAATGGCCACGAGGAGGGTGATGACAAGCTGTGCAACCGCAAGAAGGGTGCTGTGCCAAAGACCAAGACGAAGGCTGAGAAGCCTAAGAAGGGTTCCGAGGTTGAGGAGACGCGGAAGGGATCAGCAAAGGCCAAGTCGCGGAAGGCCAAGCCGAGCGATGATGAGGATACAGCTGCTCGCGGGGAGTGTGAAGAGGCAGAGCCCAAGCGCAAGAAGGGGAAGAGGGATCAGGAGGTTGTGGCGCCGGTTCCCAAGGAGTCCGTGCCCAATCGCAAGAAGGGGAACAGGGCTCAGCCGGCCGAGGAGGCAGCCCCTGAGGCTGCCCCTAAGCGCAAGAGGGGCGCTGCTCAACCCGAGGAGGAGCTGACAGAAGAGCAGAAGCAGAAGAAGCAGCTGAAGAGCCGCAAGAGGTGTGCTTACCACTGGGCCCGCCTTAACGCCATCAACCTAGGGTTTTCAGAGGAGGAAGCCAAGAAGCAGGGTCAGGAGGTCTCTTGCCCAAACTGTTCTTGCATACCTATGTACAATTTGTGATCCTCTGTGTCGTTGATTGCTCAGGCTTACAAGGACACCGTGTGAATGAGAAGATGACGAGCCGATGCTGTGTGCTTACACACGGTGCTTGAGCTTCCGCTTCCTGGTATGTTGCAGGGCTGAACAGTCAACCTCTGCCAGCTATGATTTTCAGGGACTTGCGCAGGCTTCGTGAAGGGGGTATGGAGATGTGCAGCCAATCTCAATGGCAATCCGAACAGCGGCACTAGTGCTAGTACGTGCATGACCACGTGCGGGCTTTGTGTGCTTCCGAAAAGAACAACTGTGGCTCTGCCTGCCTCTTCGTGTCTTGCGAAAGCTAGGAAGCATCACGACTGTGGCTGTGCACTCTTTGCAATATATATAATATCATTCAAGTGCAGCCATCAGCAGCTCTTATGCCAGGTGGTGCTGTGGATCTACATGCGTGGACTCCCCAAGCACTTTGCCAGAACCCGTTGCTGTGCGCCAGCTGCTATGTGAAACGTGCTTGACTATTGGAAGAGCTCTAGCCTTCGACATGCAGGGCTTAGTGCTATAGAGCTGATGCATTCCCAACTCTGTTGCAGGTACTGGTTTCATCGCGGTTTTCTCTACTTGGTTCGAGGCCGGGGTTTGCATGATCTAGTGTAGCCTGGAAAAGCTAAGCCCGAAGTCTGACAAAAACCGTAAACCTTAAGCCCTATACCCCATGCCTACAAGACTTGATTATACCGGTACAGGTCATACCCTTTCAGCCGTGCCCAAACCATATAACTCCATAGACCACACCATAGAGTTGAAACGTCTTCTACATTGGGTATATCTTGAAAATCTAAAACCCTACCCGACACCTTATGTTATCATCAGCCCGTTACCCCTGGCCCTCAGCCCAAAGCCCTAAGCCCCTAAGCCCACCGTTGCTCCACAGGTGCCTCGTCCTCTTCGTGCTGGAGCACTCGTCGCTTCGACCTGTTTGCGGCTATGGCTTTCCGCAGGGAAGCTAAACTAGATGGTCCGCCCTCCCCGATGCAGTTACACATGTGCTGAGTACAACGATAAGCTGTGCTGATGCTGAAGTGGTTGCCTGAAATCCACAGCATTTTGCTCTAGTTAGTACCGGGGCTTTGATATATATAGCAGGGAACCGTCATGGACCGCGCGGCCCCTCCAAACTCATCCCTGCTGTGTCGTCTCTTTGAAGTCGGGGCTCCGAAGGCTACTTGTCTGAAGGCAGATCACGGTTTGCAGCAGGTCGACTCGATGGTTTTTAAACAGAGTTAGCTAAGGTGCTGATCGCAATCACATTGCTTCTCCAATGGAGTAGGCAACTGCCTGCAAAGAGATTTGATATGGTGGATCTTTTTGCAGGGACTGCGAATGCTTCCAAATTTTGGCTGCCTGCCTTAATGCAGATAAAGGCTTGTGCTGTCCTGTCAATAAGAACTTGAGTGAAGGTTTGTCGTTTTGTTGATGCAAGGTCAGCCCGAGGGTTTCGTGTGGCCACGATTGACATCAACCGGTCGCCTCACATGAACATGCTCTCTGATGCTGGCTTCTTGTGCTGTGCCTAGCTGCAGGCTGCTCGTTGTAGTGAAGCGCAACTCCAAAACCGATAGGCTACCTAATTCAGCTAAGGCTTGTGGTTTGGGTGGTGATGACAATGGGCCCAGCTTCCTTTGCTTTGATGGGGCCGGTATGCTCATCGTGGGGCTTGCCCAATAGAGCTACTTCCCGCCGCGATTACATCAATTGGCAAGGTGGTCAAGAGCTACCGTATGTTGCCCAGGCAAATATCATGATCAGTCGGATGCTCGACTGCCCTCTATGCTCTTAAGTTGCATCGTAGGGATTTACAGCACAGGGAGACGTTGTGGATGGACTGAGGTGTGTGCTTGTAATCCTAGTCTTGTTGGCTGTCCATGCGACCTTTGTCCTGGAGCATCCGATGTGCTCCTTGATCGTTCGACGCTGCCGCTTCGAATGGCTCACTAACTCTGTGGCCTGGGTACCTTGTACGAAAGTTTAACATATTGCTACACTCTTCCGAAATGTACTCTCTGAAAACATGAGCTGTGCCCGGCCAATATATACTGCAGGTTTATCGGCAGAACTTGTGGCTTATGTCATGGGGCAGTTCATCACCCAAGCGCACATCATTGTTTTCTAACTCCCCTCTGATCAAGCAAATGGATGCTGGTGTACTTTGCAAGTCAGACCGGCTGCGAAAGACTACGAGAAAGACTGTTCGCACTATGGCTACATATATGCATCATTTATAATGTTCTCCGGTTTAATATGATGCAATAAATATGAAAGGTACTACTCTCAGCCTCTCAAGCTTAACCCGCTCAGGTCGGTTCAGGGGGAAAGACGGCACCGACAAGTTCAGTGGAGCCAAGGAGCTGAAAGATTCAGGGCCACTCGGTCAGCAGGAGCTTCGACTTTGGGGATTATCGAGACCCTAAACCCTGAACCCTAAACCCTACCTTACACTACTATTGCTACTACTACTACTACTACTACTACTGCTGCTATATACTACTACTACTACTAGTACTACTACTACTACTACTACTACTACTACTACTACTACTACTACTACTACTACTACTACTACTACTACTACTACTACTACTACTTCTACTACTACTACTACTACTACTACTACTACTACTGCTACTACTGCGCCTGCTTCTGCTTCTGCTACTGCTTTTGCTAGCTAATATTACTACTAGTATTCCTATTGTAACTACTACTACTATACTACTACTACTACTACTACTACTACTACTACTACTGCTACTACTACTACTACTACCACTACTACCCCCACCACCACTACCGACCACCATGACTGCTACTCGCTACTCCTTCTGCTCTGCAAGTTCTGACTGAAAGAATGATGAGGAACCCCCGTCAAGGGTTTTGTAGCAGTAGTAGTAGTAGTAGTAGTAGTAGTAGTCGTAGTAGTAGTAGTAGGAGTAGTACTAGTACTAGTACGAGCAGCACTAGTAGTATAGTAAGTAGTGACAGTAGTCTATTAGTAGTAGTAGCAGTAGTAGTCGTAGTAGTAATAGTTCCAGTTGTAGTTTTGGTAGTAGCAATGGTTGTTAGTTGGTGCATATTCTAGCAGTACTACTTCCACTAGTTAGTATATAGAGTAGTAGTAGTAGTAGTAGTAGTAGTAGTAGTAGTAGTAGTAGTAGTAGTAGTAGTAGTAGTCGTAGTAGATGAAGATGATGATGATGATGCTTTCAGGGGATGTTGTACTTTCTTTTCATCTGCCGCCTACAGGGAGGGTTGATGGTGAGACAACCCGGCGGCAGATGAAAAGAAAGTACACATAGTGGTAGTAGTAGTAGTAGCAGTAGTAGTCGTAGTAGATGAAGATGATGATGAAGAAGAAGATGATGATGATGATGCTTTAGGAACTCTAGGGGATGTTGTACTTTCTTTGCATCTGCCGCCTACAGGGAGGGTTGATGGTGAGACAACCCGGCGGCAGATGAAAAGAAAGTACACATAGTGGTAGTAGTAGTAGTAGTAGCAGTAGTAGTCGTAGTAGATGAAGATGATGATGAAGAAGAAGAAGATGATGATGATGATGTTTTAGGAACTTTAGGGGATGTTGTACTTTCTTTTCATCTGCCGCCTACAGGGAGGGTTGATGGTGAGACAACCCGGCGGCAGATGAAAAGAAAGTACACATAGTGGTAGTGGTAGTAGTAGTAGTAGTAGTAGTAGTAGTAGAAGTAGTAGTAGAAGTAGTGGTAGTGGTAGTGGGCCGGGATTTATAGGGCTGGGGTTTTGCGGGATTCCGATCTTTAAGGCTGAGTGAGGGCATATGGTACATGTGCGATCAGGTTTATAGGGATTGGGTTGCTTGGTGGTGAAAGCGATGATTAGTGTTATATCTTTCGGGCTTTATATTATTAGTGCACAATCAGGATTGTGGGTTCAGGGCTTTTGGCCTCCAACCTTCTTGACGTACCATGCAGGGTCTACCCCGTGCGCTTCTGCCAGAAGCTTTACCGTGCCTTCTTCGAGACGGAGATTGTCCATGATCGCAAGCATCTTCGGCACAAGAACTTTGTCGACCCTGGGAGAACAGATCGTGAGATTTTCGAAGATATGGGTTTGGGCGATGTTTGGAGCGATGCCAATCTTGTCGCAGTATACTTTTATGCTCGCCAAAACAAATGGTTGGTCATACCGGATTCGTGGCTTGCAACCATAGAGAAGTTCGACAAAGAGTTGGATGCTAGAGTGCCTCGATAGCAGCTAGGGTAGGGGCCCGAAACCCTTTGCAGATCACAAATCCTAGCTGATGCCTTTGATGTGAGAACACAGCCGAGGTGAACCATTCAAAGCACTTGCGAGCGGAGTACAATGCACTGCTGACTTGATCGTGTCCTGCAAGGCCACCCAATACGCCCAAGGCTAGGCCCTAAATCCCGTACACCTACAAACCCTCTTTGTAGATTCCTTCGAAGCAGCCACCCAATGTTCCGAAGCAAACCCACCAATGAAAACCTAGCTATATATACCCTGGAAAAACTTTCCTATGCTATTCCCGATTAAGCTAGCAAACCCCAAGCCCGAAAAGCCCTGCCTGTTAGTTACTGGCACCCTGAACCCTAGACCCTAAAAGCCCTGAGCCCTAAACCCCACCCGATAAATCCAAAGCTAGGCCGAAGGGAAGTCAGGTGCCCTTATGCCGTGCAAGTGGCACAGGAAGGTGCTGACTCTAGGGTATAATTCGATTGCAATTCAGTGGCCCTCGGCAACCCTAACCGAAATCAGGTTCTTTATGTGCAGAGTGACAGTCGACCAGAACCCCGTTGCCCCAAGAGTCTTTCATACTGGGTTTGGAATAGGCCAGCAGCATACCACAGCCGATTAGGTGCAGGGCCAGTCCTGGGTTAGATCGTGTACACATACTAATATACGGGCCCAATCCTTAAGGGTGCAGTCTTCATGCAGTATAGGATCACTCATGTTTTTTTGTAAAAGTCATGGAAATCTTGTTTTATGTAAACCGAGTGGAAAATACTGGCCGCAACTCTGGCGCAAATCGCCGCAACTCTGGCGCAAATCCCCGCAACTCTGGCG